GCTGGCCTTAGGCTTGATTCCACGCACAGGGCTGGGGGGTGTCTTCCAAGTAGAGGTTTCACAAGCAGTTAGTTGGCTAGCTAGCAAGAAGTTTAGATACCGGCAGAAATAAAGTTACTGCAAATTCCTCCAACATGATTATTATTACTTTTTTTTTTTTTTCTTTGAGCTTCTGCATCAACTCTTGTTGCTCACTCCTCCTCGGCTGGGCCTTGCACTCCACAACACAAGACAAAGCCAAGCCACACGGTTAAAATTCATGGTTTTTATACGAACAGAAGTAGACCGTCTAGAAATATTTCCGTTTATTAACTCGGTAAGGAGAATAGGAATCGGAGGCGGTAGCTAGTAGTACCAGCGAGTGGGCTGTTCTCTACCTGTTGGCTCGCAATGAACACAGCGTCTACAAAGGATCCCGAGGGACTTACACAGAGGGAGCCAAGCCCCTGGAAGCAAATAAAAAGCTCACATTTAAAACAAGGATTATACAAAAAAACCCCAACCAACCCTTGATGTATATTTCTCCATTTTTTCCCTTTTTGATAATGTTAGAAAGTGCAGATTTAACCAGAAGGTAGCCATCCTCTATTTACAATGCTGACCGGCAGGCACGGGACATGAGAAATGATTTATCCGCCAGTCCCAGCGTCCCGCCCGACCCCAACAGCCACTCGACTGGGAAGGGTTAACACACACGGAGACAAAATGCCAAAATACAGAGGGAAAGGGAGACACCTCGGTCAAGTTACTACACGGGAAGCCGTTCAAAACTAGAAGTTCAATGTTAAAACATCATCGTTTCATTAAAATTAAATCAGCGTTATTGACTACTTTAATTATTTACCAGTAACTGTCCAAAACCCAAGCGGACAAGAGCGAGGCACAAGCTTGTCCAACTTTAAAGGAGAGTGTGAGGAGGAAGAAGTGTCTATTTAAAACATCTTTTTGTCCTTGGCTGGAGCAGCTCTCCTACGCGGTATTTTAAACGCAGGGCAAGTGAAGGTACAAACGCTCCGGCAGACTGAACGCCCGCTTCAGAAAACAGAGTCAGCCCGGCAGTCCCGAACCCCCTTCCCTTCAGAAAGGACAAAGCCACGCTGCCGTCGGTGACACCGGAGCCTGGCCGGGGCAAGGCCCAGACCTACGGGCAAAGCGAGAAGGCGAGCTGGAAAAGCAAGTGAATCCCAGGGGGGGCTCAGCAGCCCTGCCGGGATCCCCCGCCGCGTCCCCACGGCACAGCATCGAGAGCACGACTGACCCAAGTACCGATGACTCAGCTTTTAACACTGGAAAATGGAAAGTTTTCAGGGAGGTAATAAATTAAACTGCCAACTTTTTCTTTTTTTTTCCCTCCTTTCTTTTTTTAAAATCTAGTTTCACTCAGCCTTTTGCTAGGATACCGAACGACTTGTTGGAGCGGCTAACAGTAAGAGAGAACTTAAGAGTTCATGTTAACTGCTGTCAGTTTGGGAATTGCATGTTATATTCATACACATAAAGTAGACAACCACATCACCCTCCATAGAAAACTAGTGCATGCAAATAACTCTTCCATATCATAAAACCCAACGGCTATGCAAGAGGAGAGAGAAGATATACTAGTGAACTGACATCGGCTAGAGGGAAATTAGTAGGTATCGTCAACATTTTTACCTTGAAAGCTAAATCAGTGCTTTGTATTAAATTTTTGGCAAACATACCATGTTGCCATCCTTTTAATTAACACATCACACCATGAAGAAATGCAAATAAAAGCAGCATGCAGGCAAAAGGAAAGAGCTGCAAGTAAGAAAAAAAAAAAACCAAAACATGGCAGCAGGTACAGTTCTGAATGGCTAGATCACCAAAAAGGAGACACAGCAGATTAAATGTAGTAATTTTTTTTTTTTTGCACCACCCTTTGTCCTCGATGCATGACACCAACAATTACAGAAAGCAACCACAAAAGAGTTCAGTATTTTAAAATGGTCAAGTATGGATGGTACGTCTCCTGCACATGCTTCCACCAGAAGAAAAGAAAAGAGAAGAAAAAAGTGAAAACAAAAAGTTCCTTTCCACATAAGGCACAGGACAAAATAAACCCCATTCACAGACTCAAGGCGAAAATGAGTGTTTTCCTGGCTCTTTCGCTGATGCATCTAGGGAATATGGTGACTCAAGCACATTATCCATGACAGAAAATTCCACTGTTGTACAAAATAAATTGTTAATTCTAACTTTTATTCTTATACAATTTGCAGAATAGAGTTGAATATGACTGCTATATGTTTTAATGTCAGGAGGAACGGGACTATAATACAACCAAAACGTAGTGGTAAGTTGAGCAGGTACATTAAAAAAAAAAAAATGAAGTCACAGAGATGATTTTCCTATACATGTTGTTGAGAAAATTATAGTACGCAAGCTGTCCTAAACGGAAAAACAAAAGGGAGACAGGAGCTTGTTAAGATGAGGAACAAAACATTGGTTTAAGGTTAAAAACGGGCAGAGTGGTTTGTTTTGCAGCGAGAAAAAAGGGGCGGTGGATGGCGATTGGTGATATAGGAGAACGTTCAGCAACACTTGCTCTTCCAGCCTGTCACCCCACCTCCGCTGCTGATATCTACATTTTCACTGTTGGGCTCTTTTACAGGGGTCTGCAAGGAAAAAAGTAAAAAGAGTTAGATGACTCTCAAGATATTCTGAAATAAAGCATTCAGAGCTGAAGAGATACTGGCTTACAAAAAGACGTGCATCTCCAATAATATTATGAATAAACTATGGACAAAGAGCTCCACAGAAATGCAGGGAATCCTCCTACACCCTCCAGCAAAAGTATGCAAAACCAATTTAACGTTTTGTTTGGTTTTTTTTGTTTTAAATAAACAACAACTGGAAAGCTGAGGGACCCCCCCACCAACCAACCAAAACTTTTGCATTTGGACCACCCCAAAGTAAACTAAAACTATTTCTAGATCCTGCTCTTAGAACTGGCACTTGGACTTTGGTAGAGCAAGTAAATCACAGCATCCAACTAACACAAGCTGAAGTTAAAGTATGTGAACTAATGACCTTAAAAAACCCACAGAGTAATTTATGGATAAAGAAGGGTTTTTCAAAAGCATCTGCCTTCCAGTTAACCAGGACATCAGTTTTTGAGGCAGCGGTCAAAACAGGCTCATCTACGTCACGCGATGTAAACTTGTCTAGACCAAAGCAAAAATCAAAGTCAAGTGGCTTTCATCAGATGCTAACATCTACTTTCAGCTGTTTAGAAACCAACCTAAACATCCATGAGAATGCTGCAGCTTAGTCTCTATATGCTTTTTTCTTATTCTCTTTGTCACAGCCTTGCAAAAGCAAACACCACCCCCCACCCCCTCGTTCCTCAGATGAACATACAGAAGCCCAAAACAAAAACGTAAAGGTCAAAAGGGCCAGTAAGATTTGTTAGCCTGACCTCCGGTTTACCAAAGGCCAGGGATTTTCATCCAGTTCCTCACATAAAGCTTGTCAAAAAGCAACTAAGAAACAACTCGGAACCACACCAGCAAGCCAGCCATTGCTGAGCAGACAGGCATTTAAAAGGGCTGTGAAAAGATTCAGCATTGACCTTGCACTAAGTTTCTAACCAATTAACTCCGACGAGATTACCAAGAGCATTCAAGGCAGGAGAGCGGTGGAAGACATCGATGAGGGCAGTCTCAATACGGGGCAGTCCCTACCGCTAAGGTGGGCCGCATAAAAAACACGTAGGGTCATTCGTTGAGGAGCAAAGCACACGTGCTAGAGTTGGCCAACCCACGCCTCGAGCTCCACTGAGTTTCAGTGCTGGAGAGGCACGACTCGATTGTAAGCAGGAGCGCGCTAGCACAGGGGTTACTGTGTAAATCAAACCCTTGGCTACGGGAGCACATCAACTAACTGGAACCGGCCCTGGAGCCACCCACGCATCCAGCTCAGCCCAATCCTGCAACAGAAGAGTGGCAGCTATGGAAAGCTGATGCATTTTCTACTCCTGAAAGATATCAAGGATACAAGTTTCGCAGTACCCTGTAGCTCTAGGCATACAAAGATTTGGGAACAGGCCACAGAAAAGACAACCACCTTTGTGGTAGGTTGTACGTTTCAGCAAGGGAAACCAACCACCAGGATTAACGGGTCATCCACGTTCTAGGCTGCAACATAATCATCCAATAAAACCGAAATGCAGAGGCTGAGCAGGCTCACCATTGGAAACAAGGTATGAAGTGACAGAGCTCATTCGTTTGTTCTATCAAACGCACCTAAACTCTTCCCAACAGGTGCTTAAGAGTTTTTAGACAACGCTGCATATTGATGGAGATGGTGGCAGGGAAGGGGCAATTCTCTTCCACGCCAATTGAAATGTGCTTCCAAGCACATGTACGACACAACCATGAGTTTAAGGGCCAAAGAATGACAAGTTTTATGTTCCTTGGCTCTTTGATGTATACCACTCCGTCTACATAGCAGCCCTACAGTAAGGAAATATCTAACAAGCTTAAGAAGCTGTACATGTACAATCCTCCTCCTCCTTCAGGGACTTGTCTGTCTTAGCACGCCAAAGTCACAAGCTGCAACAATTCAGGTAAACAAAGGCAACAGGAGCTGAAATTTTAGGGTATTTTTTTCCAAGCGAAGCTTGAAAGCACTTACCTTTCGAAGAATGTCTTCTGCTAATGTGAGGAATGCCTTCTCAATGTTTATATTTGCTTTTGCACTAGTTTCGAAAAACCTAATACCATGCTCCCTAGCAATCTAAACCAAAAAAGAAAGACGACGGTTAGTGTTAGTGTAGAGTCATTCGATTGGTGCTGCTACAACTTCAGGATTAGTGGCACTTAGAAGCACATAATATTCTTTCAGTCACAGCAGGCATCAGAAGTACTAGCTAGGCAGAGTGTCACAAAAGAAGATTCAGAACTTCGTGATTCAGAAACAAAAAATAAAGTGTATTAAATCACAGGTCAACGTCTGAACGTAAGACGACAGGTACCATACAAGCCCGTCACATGGCAAAGGATGCCTGAAAATTTTTAGTTACCAAAGAAAGCAGAAACTGCAGCTGAACTCATTCCATCCAGGGCAGTTTTTTGCAGTGCACCTTCCGAGAAAACATCCCCCAGACATACAAACCATCAGCAAATCCAGTCACCCTGTTCGTTCCCTGGCACATCCCGTTGTGGCATCTCAACCACCTGGAGATGGCGGGAAGTCTTGGCACTGATTTGCTTACTTTGATAAGCAAGTTTTAGTCCGACACTTACCTGTTCGCCTTTTGCTTTAGGGACAACTCTTTTATCTTCCATGTCACACTTGTTTCCTAACAGCATCCTCTCCACATCTTCATTGGCATGCTAAAATGAGACAAGAGACAGGTTTACAGGTCTCCCACAACAAACACTAAATATCTACTTCACTTTTGTCTTTCCAGGCTGTTTGAAGTCCACACTAACATTTGCAGGTCTTGGTGTCCTGCACCAAGTCTCCTTAACAATTGCGACTATGCTTTCAACCACCGCAAAGCCAAACAACCAGGAAGTTAGTAAAAAAACCCTTTTGCCTGTAATTTTTTTAAAGTTACCAAGTTAACTAACAATGGGAAATTACAGCCACTTAGCATCATGCCGTTCCTCTGATGTCGCAATCATCACAGCAAGATCGCATGTCAGCTTTGTGCTTTAGCTCTATCTGCTAAGTACCGCACACAGAAGTCGAGAAGCTCATGCAGCGAAACGGAACGCAGCCTGCTCACCAAGTGCACACAAAGCAGGATGTTGCAAAGGGAAAACTGAAGCAAGCACCATGCTAATGCTCAGGATCCAAAGAAAAGCAGGACCACATACACAAGGAACCACCTTTGTAAAGCAAAAGCGAGTGCCAATGCTTTCTGAAGGAACGCTGAACGAGCAAATCACCTTGGCTGTTCAGTTACTGAAGTACTGCCAACATCCACCACAGTACGGAGAGAATACACCAAAGATATCCACAGACCAGCAGAAAAGTTCCGGCAGCCACAGCACAAAGCATCACTTAAGTGGATAACTGAAGTACTTTGAAACCTGCCATGAGAAGCTTCTTGGAAAGTCTAATCTGACTTTACTTTCACTCCAACAGTCTTAATACTACTTTACAGCAGCATTACTAATACAACTACAGAGGCAAGAGATCCATGTACCCAGTACTCCTGCTTACAGTAATTACCCATTTCACATTCCTCAGGAGAATCACCCCCAGTTTTTTTACCTTCAGGTCACAAGGAGGAAAAGCAACCAGACAGCAAAGGTAGATTAAGGTTTCATAGAATCATACAACGGTTTGGGTTGGAAGCGACCTTAAAGCTCATTTCATTCCAACCCCCTGCCATGGGCAGGGACCCCTCCCACCAGACCAGGCTGCTCACAGCCTCATCCAACCACGCCTTGAACACTT